TGTCCTGTCGCCTGAGCCACGCCTACCGGTTCCTGAGACCTACGCGGGTGAGTCTGGATTTTGCCGTGCGTTTTTAACCAGATGTTCGATGCACTTCACTCTACAGCCTAGAATGTTTCAGAGTGAAGAAGCGAAGGTGGCTTTCGTCATAACTCTGCTGACGGGAAGGGCGGCGCTATGGGGAACGGCGGTATGGGAGAACCAAGACTGCGCCTCGTTCCAGGACCTTTCCGCAGAGATGAAACGGGTGTTCGACCGAGCCGTTGCGGGGAGAGAGGCTGCCAGGGTGTTGGCCGACCTACGTCAGGGGGAGAGGTCGGTATCGGACTATTCCATCGAGTTCCGAACCCTGGCAGCCGAATGTCAATGGAACGAGGAGGCACAGTGGGACATGTTCCTGCATGGGTTGGCTGACTGCGTCCAACGTGAAATCTATGCCCTGGACCTACCCACGATGCTTAATGGACTCATCGAGTTGGCTCTATGAGTAGATGCTAGACTTTCCCGAGTTGGAGGCAGAGCGGCACCCAACCGACCTCCGGGAGGGTTTGAGGGACAACGGTCCAGCGACAGAGACGTGGTCAGCCCAGTCTTCGATCACGAACCCATGCAGGTGGGTTGAGCTCGGCTTTCCCGGGAGGAGAGGGAGAGGCGGAGGTCCCAGGGCCTTTGCCTGTATTGTGGAGGTTCGGGACATTATGCATACAACTGCCCGGTAAAAGGCCAAGCCGATAGTAAGTATGAGGCTACTATCGGGTGGGATCTCCACCGAGAAGACCTCATCCACATCTACACTCCTCCCGGTAAGACTGAGATGGTCTACTCACCAGCACAACTGTAAAGCACTTCTGGACTCCGGGGCGGAAGGTAATTTCATGGACCGCACGTTTGCACACAGATTTCAGATCCCACTCACTCAGAAGATTGCTGTACACGCACTTAACGGTCAAGAATTTCCCACCATCTCATTCACCACTGAAGATATCACCCTCATTACTTCTGGCAATCACACTGAGACTATTTTTTTTTATATCCTGGATTCACCGTTGGCACCTGTCGTCCTTGGTCACCCCTGGCTCATTCGTCACAACCCCCGAGTGGACTGGCCGCACAAAGCGATTCTGGAGTGGAACAAGGAATGTCATAAGTCTTGTCTTGTGTCTGCATGTCCGTCTGTGCCTGTTCTTGTCTTTCAGGAGGAGGCAGGGGATCTGTCTAACATGCCCAAGGAGTACCATGACCTGAAAGAAGTGTTCAGTAAGTCGAGGGCTGCTTCTCTCACTCCTCATTGTCCCTATGACTGTGCAATAGACTTAATGCCAGGTAAGTCTCCGCCTAAAGGCAAGTTATATTCACTTTCTGTTCCAGAAAGGAAGGCTATGGAGAAGTATATTTCTGATTCTCTGGAAACCAAATTCATCCGCCCTTCATCTTCTCCAGTGGGGGCGGGGTTCTTTTTGTGGGGAAGAAGGATGGATCTTTGCGACCTTGTATTGATTACCGAGGGTTGAATAACATCACGGTAAAGAATACTTACCCTTTGCCGTTGATGTCTTCAGCTTTCGAGAGGTTGCAGGGAGCATCCATCTTCACGAAATTGGACTTACGTAATGCTTATCATTTGGTCCGCATCAGGGAGGGGGATGAATGGAAGACTGCGTTTAATACCCCCAGGGGGCACTTTGAATATTTGGTCATGCCTTTCGGGCTGTCCAACTCCCCAGCAGTCTTCCAGGCACTTGTCAATGATGTGTTGCGAGACATGATAGATCAATTCATATATGTTTACCTGGATGACATATTAATATTTTCCTCGTCTCTCCAGGAGCATCTGCAACACGTACGGCAAGTGCTTCAGAGGTTGCTAGAGAATGGGCTTTTTGTCAAGGTGGAGAAATGCGATTTTCATGCACAGTCTTTTCCTTTTCTAGGACACATCGTTTCGTCTGAGGGAATGCGGGTGGACCCTGACAAGGTTAAGGCTGTGGTAGAATGGCCTAGTCCAGACTCCCGTAAGGCCCTACAGAGGTTTCTGGGATTTGCCAATTTCTATTGGCGGTTCATTCGCAACTTCAGCCAACTAGCTGCGCCTCTGACTGCCTTGACCTCCCCCGGAACTCCGTTCAGGTGGTCAGATACAGCCGAGGCTGTGTTTGCCAACCTCAAGAGCCGCTTTGTTTCAGCTCCCATCCTCGTTGCCCCTGACTATTCACGGCAGTTCGTGGTGGAGGTTGATGCGTCAGAGGTGGGGGTAGGTGCAGTTCTGTCCCAGCGCTCTCCCACAGACGACAAGATGCATCCTTGCGCGTTTTTTCCCAGCCGAACGTAATTACGACATTGGTAACAGAGAGTTGTTGGCAGTCAAGTTAGCGTTGGAAGAATGGCGACATTGGTTAGAGGGATTGAGGGTACCCTTTATCGTCTGGACCGACCACAAGAATTTGGAGTGCATCAGAACCGCTAAAAGACTCAATCTAGGCAGGCTCGGTGGGCACTCTTTTTCGGTCATTTTGATTTTTCTCTCTCATACCGCCCGGGTTCTAAAAACATCAAACCCGATTCATTATCTCGCATTTTTTATTTTTCCGAACGCCCGTCTACTCCCGAATGTGCATTTTACCGGAAAGTCTATTTGTTTCCACACTCGTATGGGAGATCGAATCGAAGGTCAAGAAGGCCTTAGAAGGGGTAACGCCTCCGCCCGCATGCCCACCGAGTCATTTATTTGTGCCAGAGGGATTAAGATCAGACGTCATCCGGTGGGGCCATTGTTCCAACATAGCTTGTCATCCAGGAGTTAATCGTACTAACTTTTTAGTGAAGCAACGAGTCTGGTGGCCACTTATGACTCGTGACATTCACAGTTTTGTTTTGGCTTGCTCGGTCTGTGCTACTGGTAAGACTTCCAATCGACCCCCAGATGGGCTCCTCCAACCGCTGCCAGTCCCTTCGAGACCCTGGTCCCATATCGCTCTAGATTTTATCACCGCCCTCCCACCCTCTCAGGGTAACACTGTAGTTTTGACAGTGGTGGACCGGTTCTCTAAGGCGGCTCACTTTATTCCCTTACCCAAATTACCCTCAGCTAAGGAGACAGCGTTGACAGTCGTTGACCACGTCTTTCGCTTACATGGCCTCCCGACGGACGTGGTCTCTGACAGAGGACCCCAATTTGTATCCAAATTTTGAAGAGAATTTTGTAAATTACTGGGGGCGACAGTTAGTCTGTCTTCAGGGTTTCACCCTCAGAGCAATGGCCAGACCGAGAGAGCCAACCAAGATTTGGAAAGAGTGTTACGATGTTTGGTATCCAAGAATCCTTCCTCATGGAGCCAGCATCTTTCCATGGTGGAGTACGCCCACAATACCTTACCAGTGTCGTCCACGGGCCTTTCCCCGTTTGAGTGTAGTGTAGGATACCAGCCACCTATTTTTCCCATTCTGGAATCTGAAGTCGCGGTCCCCTCTGCTCACGCCTTTATCCAGAGGTGTCACCGCACTTGGACTAGAGCCTGTGAGACTCTACTCCAAGTGGGGGCGCGCACCAAGGCTAAAGCCGATCGCCACCGGTCGAAGCCTCCCGTATACGTCGTCGGTCAAAAAGTGTGGCTTTCTACCAAGAACATTCCTCTCCGCTCCGTCTCGAATAAACTCGCTCCCAAATTCATTGGCCCGTTTACTGTCACCAAATCCATTAGTCCGGTGGCAGTCCGCCTTAATCTACCTCCTGCGTACAGGAGAATTCACCCCGTATTCCACGTTTCCAAAATTAAGCCCGTGTTTCGTTCTCACTTTAATCCGCCAGTCCCGGTTCCCCCCCCCCGCCGCGTCTCGTAGATGGGGATACTACCTATTCGGTAAATCGGATTCTGGATTCCAGGCGGAGGGGGCGCGGATTCCAGTACTTGGTGGACTGGGAAGGTTACGGTCCGGAGGAGAGAAGTTGGGTACCTGCCAGAGACATTCTGGATCACTCCTTGATCGATGACTACAATCGACAGGTAAGGAGTTCTGAGAACGCCAGGAGGCGTTCTTAGGAGAGGGGTACTGTCACGGTATACAGATCCAATGTTTCCTTCTTGTCTCGTGCTTGTGTTGTGGTATGAAAGCACATGTACTGTGGGCGTGAATGTTGTCATTCCTTGATCCGCTCCAGCTGATCATCATTAATCATCACCAGCTGCAGCTCATCCCCACACTGCTTAAATACTGACCTCATTCTCATTTCCTTGCCAGATCGTTGTTTGATGTCCGGGTGTTGGTGTTGTGTTTGCATTCCTGGTTTCCTGATCTCCGTGTCCTGTGGATTTGTCGTCTCGGTGTTGGATTGTGTCGTCTCGTCTTCACTCTTCACTTCACGAGGATTCACCGCACCTTGACCATCGAAGTCCCTGCGTTATCTGTTCACACCTGTGTCATTGTCTTGAGTATCACCATTAAATCTTGAGTAACTGCAATTGCTTCCTGTTCTCGTTATTACATGACATCATTATAACATGGAAAAATATTAACACTTCAAGCTTAGGCATTTAGGCTACCCAATTTTTTCAGGCTAATTGTAGTAATGACGGATCAGACCTGTTTGGCCATAACTATATGCATAACTATAAGGACATAACTTACCCCCATTCAACGTCAGTTCTCCGTCTTTTACGGACATGACAAGAAAGTCGGTCTCCTCGGCTGTGAACGCTCCTGGTGCGCTCTTATTATCATATTATTATCATAATAATAATCCACCATATTTCGTTTCGACATCCTGCTGCATTAGTCCCAGATATGTGATTCATGAATGATCTGTTCATTGTGTCACGTGACAAATGAACGTAAGACTCGGAAGGTAAAGTGATTATTTATGTTCCCTGTAAATCATTTTTTACTGCATTATGATTTCTTAATTCAGAATATGGTCAACATTGCGTAGGTGGATGTGATCGGGGAATTTGGCTGTTAAAATTATAACAGTAAGCCACTTAAATAAACGAAATGACTTGAATGACTCAGAAAATCAGTAAAATGAACTTCCTATTCATGACTCGCCAGAGCAGCTGCTCGGTCTCGCCTGATCGCGGCGCTGCGGGGCGGCGGAAACTAAATCAGACTCGTGAGAGCGGGGCACGCCGACGTTGCGGGGCGGCCGCAACTCAGTAATTCATATAAATAACCTAGTTTGTGAATGGTTCATTCCCGGTTGGCACACATTTTTCAGCTCTTACAAAAGCGCCGCTCCCTAATTTACAGTGAGAGTTCGATCATAGATTTGAGTTCGATGCATAATGTCTCGATGCGGCCGTGTCGGCGCATAACATACGTCATAAATAAACTTTCTGATTGGCTTACGGGTAACCAATTGTAGCAAGATAAGCAGGAGAATGGGAGAGGAATTGGGAAGTAACTACCAATCCCAGTACAGATTGCCTATAGGATGGTCCAATTTAAAGGACAGGCAACATGGAAGGGCAGCCGGGGTCCTTGCAGCATCAGTTAGCCGTTTGGCTAGTAGCGTGTGGGACTGGGTGTCCTGTGATGTACTCTTCCTCGATGGAAGGTAAACCTGTTTTTTTTTGTTGTATTACTGCAATGGATGTTTTTATTGTGTTGATGCAGTCACTAACTATAGATTTAATAATTCTTTTAGATGAATCAGTGGTATTTGAATCCATTATGTGTCATGTGGGCATGAGGTGGTAATTGTGTTAATAGGGATAGTTTACTATGTTTTAGAACTGTTTGCCTGATGGAATAAATTCAGGACCATCATGTTTTTTGTCTGATTGTGCACCTTAAAGGTATAGTTATTATTTTTTTCTCTGTTTAAAGTATTGATTGATTTTGTTTTTTTTGCGGCTGGCTAGTGGAATTATTTATTTATGTTTCCATTTTTTTTGTTTTTTTCTTTGAATCAATTATGTAATACCAACTGCTTTCCATCCTTGATTAAGCTGCCAGGGGGTAGTTTTCCATCGTGATCGGGTGGTGAACTGGGAGTACAGATTAACAGAGCCCTTATAGGTCTGGCGGTTTGATTTGTGTGTTTGCCACATTGTGCACGTGTATCCTGTTGTAATGAAGGGCTTACTGGAGTTTGCTGTGGTTATCACTCAATGCAATGAAGTGTCCCCTGTATAGGTAACTCAAGTTGTTTTGTATTCCTAGCCAGACCAATTGAGAAATTGCTGCCCCCATCCGCTGAAGCAGTTTATGTTTTGAACAATTTTACAGTACTGCTTAATAAAGAAATTTGTATTTTTTATAATTTATTGTCTTTTGTGTTCAGTTTTTGGGGGCCCTAGCAGGTGTCACACAATGATTTTAAACTTTCGAGTGAGAAAACACTTCTCTATTATGCCATTCCAGACTCTGTCTACGAAGCAAAGTGAAGTAGCAGAGTCTGGTATTATCAGGCTAGGTATTAGCTACATTTGGATTGAAACTTACTTTGCAACAGTTTAAAAGATTATGTTCCATGTATGAATGTGCGTAGTATGAATGAAAATCTTACGAACTACATCTGCCATCTTGTCATCATGTTACCTGTGATGTTTGTTGTGTCACATCACCACCATTCACAAATCCTCTCCCACACCCTCAAGTGTCGATTGAATGCGCACTTCAGAATATCGCCGGAAGTAGTAGGTCACCCTAGTACTTTTTTTTTTTAAATGAATATTATAAATATATAGTAGGTACGTTGGCATATTCAGTTGCAGCATCAGTGTAATTCAAAAATCTCACCTAGCTGTCTTGGAAGGGTTACAACTTTGGGAGAAACCAGACTCAGTCGGGGGCCAGTTCTCCTCTGGCCAACGAAAAAACAGTGTATGATTCGAGCAGTATTACAAGTCAGATTGGATCAGAACATTTAGAGTATTTATCCATTTCATCTGTTTGGAAGACGAAGTCATCACGCCCGTATGGAGACGAGTTGTTGAGGACCAGTGCCGATGGCTGTCGTGTCGATGAGGCCGGCACTTAAGGATGAGCTCGGATGGGTCCAGGCGCAGGTCCACCATAGAGGATCCCTCGGGATAAACTGAGAGACTAATATTAGTGTAGACACCATCCTTCTTATGATATACCAAGTACATCAGGATTTACGGGACGTGTTCCCGGTTTCAGCTGATCTGTGTCTATAGTGTGTTATGTGTATGCCAAAGAGATGGGTTTTTAGTCTAGATTTTAACTGACAGAGTTTGTCTACTTCTTGGACAATGTTAAGAAGACTGTTCCAGAGTTTTGGTGCTAAATAGGAATTTCTTGGACAATGTTAAGAAGACTGTTCCAGAGTTTTGGTGCTAAATAGGAAAAGGATCTACTGCCTGCAGTCAATTTTGATAGGTATGATCAACTGGCCGGAATTGCGAGCTTGTAAAAGGCGTGAAGAACTATAATGCGAGCAAGTACTGGGGAGCTTTGCAAGTTATCAGCAATATTTTAAAATGTATACAATGTTTAATAGGCAGCCAATGCAGGGTTGACAGAACCGGGCAAATATGGTCATATTTCCTGGTCATATTTTTTAATAAGTGAATTGCGCTGCTTCTCTCGCGAGTAATTCATTTCAATGAGTTTTGAATGAGTTTCACTTCTTTCTTAGCATGTGATTGGCTGTTCTGTTCGCTACTGATGCCACACGTAAACTCAGGATCAAAGCCCGAGTTTACAGAGAAAGTTGATGATCAGCAACATGGTACTACCAACAAAGCCTGGTTGGATTGGTTTGTTTTTGTCAACTCGAAACTAATCCTGCAACCCTGAGTTTGTTCAACTAACTACCATCATAGTGTAACCCCTCACATCCGGGTCCAACTCGATCCGCTCCGAGCGGGCCTCGAACCCGGGTCTCCGGCATGAGAGTCTGGCGCGCTAACAAGGAGGCTAAAGACTGCAGCCTCTAGCATCTGTCGCTAGAGCGCCTATTGAGATCGGGGAGTGAGGTTTACTCGCACAGCAACTACTAGCTGGCCTCCGTTAAACTCACCCCCCTAAACCTCACTCTCATCTGGGTCACGGCACCAATGTAACCCCTCACACCCGGGTCCTACTCGCCCCGCTCCGAGCGGGCCTCGAACCCGGGTCTCCGGCGTGAGAGTCGGACGCTCTAGCAAGGAGGCTATCTGTTGAGGCGTCGGTCGCTAGAGTGCCTATTGAGATCGGGGAGTGAGGTTTACTCGCACAGCAACTACTAGCTGGCCTCCGTTACAATAGTACAGGCCCCTGAACTTGTTCCTGAGAGTCTGTTTCATGGAAATTTGAGTTCATTTTAAAAATAAATACTGCTGCACTTAGACCCTGTTTCAACCCTGCTGCAACCAACGCTGACACATGTAAGCAAGATGTTCAGGAAGGGGGATGAAAAACAGATTGTTCTGTGCAGTACAATCGATTTGCATTCCATCAGCGTAACCGAGAGCAAAGTTATTTCTAAAGGGCATATGACATTTACTGCATTGAAAGTCACATCTCTTGCCAGAGGTGTGAAAATTTGAGCTTTGTTGTTGCAGCGAGGACGCTTTTTGTTATGGTGTGGTTAGACTTACTAACTGGTACAGTGTTAAACCAGTGAATACTGAGCAGAGGGCTCACGGGGATTAGAAAAAGGAGTCACTTGCATGCGGAAATCGTGGGGTCAGGGTTGCCCCCTACCCTAAAATATTTAAAACGATGTTGTGTTTTTTAAATAATAGATGTACTTAAATAATTCGGTATGTAGTGAAACAATACAAATGATTTAAGTTTATAAACACTTTGAGTTCCCCAATACACCTACACCAGTGGCGGTTCTACTTTGAATTACACCCAGGGCGAGACCCCCTTCGAGCGCCCCCCCCCACACACACACCAAAAAAAAATAAAATACTTTGCATATTATAGGCTACTGTAAAAACTCATAAGTTGATTTTAGTTGATCATTATGAAAAGTATTAGATAATATAGTGACCAAAATGATCACATACACAGAATCTTGTTCAAAAAGCCTAATACACAGTGAAATCAATTCACCAAGTTAATAACAATAAAGATTTGTTTTAAAGGAGTGTCTTTCATCTTACCTACTAAACAACTTAAAAAAAGGTTAACACAAAAAAAGGTTTTATATAAAGATAAACCTCATATTTCAGCATTTAAATCATCTCTATAAAAGAATGAGTCAATAAAGATACATTCCTGACATTTATAATGCACAGCTTGTCTTTTATTATTAATAGTAAAATTCGTACCAATTTTCCCATGGCTGTCGTTAGAACCATGCACTCATTACACTGCGCTCTCCACAACGACAAAGAAGTTTTAGTAGCTAATGTGTTTCCACCACAGAAAAACGCTTGCTGTAGCTCTGCTAAAAGATTTATTTACGGAGAAGAGCAAAAACACCCAAGTGTTTGGGTGCACGTGCACTCCCTGAAAAGTTTATGAGCGCGCTTCCCGTGCGCGAATTTGAAACATAGGATTTGAAATAACGACCTCGAGCGCGCAAAAGACGCGATACGTGAACTAATCAGGAGATCCCCTTGATCCCCTCGCTTCTCCGCAAGCAGGGCGCCATTGCCAATAATTGAATCGAAATGATAAAAAATATAAAAACTTCGCGGCACAGAGGATTTTTTTAACTGCTCGTGCCGCCCCCCATGTGACATGAAGAAATGCCGCCCCGGGCGACTGCCCGGTTCGCCCGTGCCTAGAACCGCTACTGACCTACACAAACAAGTCCGGTGGGAGAGATGTATGGATAACTATAATGTATGGCGGAATACCAAGTGCTTAGGAGCACTTTGAATTGGCGCAGTAATATCATCACTCGTGAAAAATCCTCTCCCTCTCCGGAGTAATGATATTACTGCGCCGAGTTCATAGATATATATGCGCCGAGTCGAAGTGCTCCCAACCACTTGCTGTGGTATTCCGCCATACATTATAGTTATCCACTTTACACGGTTAGAAAAGTGCAACGTTTTATTTTGTGTCACCATTCTTGGTCGAGTTTAGTCTGGGTTTCCCCATGCTGCCTTGGCGCAGCGTGGACACCATGAACCAAATTTTCTCCTGAAATAGGGAACCAATCACAGAACGGGGAGGAAGCAGCAAAACGATGACAATGTATATGCGACACACCGAAGCAGTTTGTTTATATCTATGGATGGCAGCAGACACAAAGTTACCTTTTGATTCAGCCTAATGTTTGACATTAAACATATCGGCTCAACTGATTTGCAGAGGGGGGATTTGAAGCGGTTCTTTTTTACTGGTGATTCACTTTCTTAATTTTTACTTCATATAACGTTAGCCTTTTTTGTTGATCACATATTATACTATTTCATGTGTTTTAACAAGATCGTGTTGCTATCATGCAGTTGTTCACTCTAATATAATCGTTTTTAAACTAATAAAATCCTTTTTAAATAAATATCTTGTGACAAATTATTGATGTATCTGGTAGGTAGCCATGTTATAAGTGGGAAAATGTATAGCTAGGCCAGCCCATTCTCACTCCCATTTGACCATGCTTCAATATCTGACGCTTTAGGCGCCCTTTAGCGTCAGTTAGATGACGCCCTAGGATCGCGTGTACCCTACCCCAGATAGCAAACTGACATTGAATCAACGTGGAAACGACGTCTCTCATGACATTGAAACAACGTTGATTTGCTCATCGAATTAACGTTGAACCAACGTCAGACGCGGCATTCTTCAAAGCTAAATGAAATCGAAAATTGGTTTGCTTTCATAACGTTGAAACAACGCGTTGATTTCAAGTTGATTTTCCGTTAGTTTTGAAAGAATGATGCATCTGACGTTGGTTCAACGTTAATTCGATGAGCAAAACAATGTCAGATCAACGTTGTTTCGATGTCATATTTCCACGTTGATTCAATGTCAGTCTGCTATCTGGGACCCCCACCCCATACCTAAACCTAACCGCGTCCTCTAACTGACGCTTTCCTTTAGCGTCAGTTAGATGACGCCGTAGGATCGAATCAAATATTGAAGCATGGTCAAAGGTGACGCCTTGGGGTGAGAATGTGTTGGCTAGACGGTTGTTACAGCGAATACAACCCCTTCAGGCTGATTCAAGACCCCTCTGCCTCGTGCTAGAGTTCGCGGGGTTGTATTCGCTATAACAACCGTCTCACTATACAGTATCCCTTACTTTTTATTTATTTATTTCTATGAGGGCGGACAAGACAAAATAAGTACTGTCAAGTGTGTTTAAACAGTGCGGTACAGCAACCAAACCAGTAGCACTACCATTTTTGCTGCGCCGAATGCGGACCTTTCACTGCTGTAACAACGCAATGACGTGCACTTGCCCATTTACGTGTTCTCCGAATGCTAAAAATGAGCTAGCCTTTTGTGCTAGGAAATTAGCTTACTTGGAAGGACCCGTCCTGCCAAGGAAGTATCCTTGACATTGAGAAACACGTTTTGTGTATACATGAATCTCCTAAATTTCTGACCCATCGTTGTCTTCATTGTCTAATTGTCTGTCGCTCTACAGGCGCATTTGATAGACATTCATAGCACCCAATAATACGGCTCTGGGCATTCGCAAACCACTCCTCAAATACAAGAAAATGAACATGCGTCTCATTCTCAATGATACGTGGTCTGGCGTTAGCCAGGCTAGGTCGAGTTACACTACTCGTGTTACTGTATTTAAATAGGGAAAACGTGGAGGTGTTTGGTCGCTTCTCTGCTTGGATCATAATGAATGAACTGGGCTATTTCATTGCTAGCTGCTACCAAAGTTTCTCACGCGCCAGAGCGATTGAGCGCACGCACTGAGACGAGAGAGGTATATATCAACTCGTCTTAGTTAAGGGAATAACATAGTTTAATATGAAAAAACAAAACAAAATGGTGGAGTATCCCTTTAAGTGCCCCCCCCCCCCTTTAAATAGACATGAAAATGCACATTTCAAACTCAAATGGTTGTAATTCAAGAATACTTTGGAATATAGACATAAGATTGGTCTTGTTTTAAAGATATTTAAATATATTCATAGACGTGGAATAAACGTTAAGAAAGTGAAACAGAAAAAAGTTATAAAAGTTTGAGTTTATTGAAATGTACAATATAAAAAAAATCATATTTTATGTAAAATATATATTTTCAAAATCTGGGCTACTCTAAAACTGCAGAAAAATCAAAAGCCAAAAAACTGAACAAGTTGTGTTTCAAATTTTAGGTGGATATCTAAAAAAAAAATTAGCTTATTATTTTATATATATCATTATTTTTTTCTTTATATTTAAAACATTTTCAGACCTTTTTTTTTCTAAAATAATTGAATGGATGCTATCTTTTGAACTCTATCTTTTGAACTCTTGGCATGAAAACAAACTGAGGTTTGCATTTTTTTTTTTTTTTTCATGATTTTTCATGTTCATTGCTATTTCAAAATAAAGGTCTGAACATGCCTTAGGGGTATGAAAATACTCTTGTTGCAAATTGATAAATCGGTTCCTCTGTAATTTATCTTGAAAATCAGTCTCCAAATATCGAAATTAGAGATTGTAAGCTTTCAAATGATACTTGAGGTTTTTACTAAGATATTATTGTTTTAAAAATATAATGGCAAACGTCCGACCTGTGGGACGAGAAGTCTTATTATTCTTCACTTGTTTGAACATTTTCTCAAGTATATATTTACATAGCGCTTTTCACAATATAGATTGCATCAAAGCAGCTTCACAGTATCAATCCAAAAAATGTTCAAGCTTTCTTTGAAACAGAGCACATGTTGTGATAGAGGATGTTGGAACCTCATCTAGTGGTTAATCTCGCAAACATATCTGCACTGATCCAGCAGCAGAAGAAACCTTTCATCTTATACAGAATCAAGCAGCAACTTGACACCCCCCCCCCCACCCCGTGGTTGCCCACACTGTTTATCACAATACAACCAAATTCCCATTTACGTATCTAAAATGAATGACTAACCTCAAACACTTTCCTTTGATGAAACCTAAATGAATATTGAAGATTGTTTTTTGTTCAGAGGACAACACAGCAGGCAGTTTATAAAGAAGTCTCAGAAAGTGTGAGTATTATTAAACAAACAGCCACAAACTTAACATGCTTAAAACTGTAGTTGTGTCCCAAATGATGCTCTATACACTATATGTTCTCCCCCGTCTTGTTTAAGAGATTTATATCTTATAGCCCCTCTCCTCCTGCTGTACGTAAATAAAGCTGCAACTGCAAGTGTATTACATTTACAATTCTTTCCCACCATAATGGCTTAGAATAATACGTAAGTGTGAATTGGGACGCACAATGTGCCTCCACGAGTTCCACAGAGAGATAAACACTTACGCAGATGTGGTTTACAGATATGCGTCAGACTTCCTCTCTGTGACGGACTGACACTTACCCCAACCCCATAATATGACACGTCATAATTCCCATCATAAGTATTTTAGGGAATTCAACCTCAAAAGTTTGGTATCTTCTAAAAAACAAAAAATATAGAGTGATTTTGTTTAGGGTAAACTGTGAAAGTTTTTTTTTTCCCCTCTGCATAATACTTTAAATGTAGTCGCTACGATCAGGACAATGCGTTGATTAAAAATCTTTTATTAAAAACCACTCAACACTAAAAAAATAAAATTTAAAGCAAAAGCAAAACTAAATGCATTTCAAGAAAGATTTCAAAAAGTCATAACTGAAAAATAACGCTTTTTTAACCCTTGATGCAAATACAAACACTGGGTTTTATTTAAAATTTCGGATGAAATCATTAATATCAAAACCATTTTCTGTATCATTTGCAAATTAAAATGTAAGCAATATACATGCACAGGGAAGAACATCTTCACTGAAAAAAATAATATGCTTTATCTAATCAATAAAATTGTGGCAACAGATTACAAGCAATATTATTAATTAAATTGTACAAATTAGAATTAATTAGAATGTTAATTTGATTAACTATTACTCAATTCTAATTTGTTCAATTTAATAAATAATATTGCTTGTAACCTGTTGCCACAATTTTATTGATTAGATAAAGCATATTCATTTTTACAGTGTTAGCAACAGCGTCAAGTTCTGCAATCTCATACTTAACATATTGTTAAACAAAGTGTCAAAAAAACAGAACAAAGACAACTTTCAAGATAAACTCGATACATTCAATAAAAAGGGGAACTTAAGGATGGTAAAAATATAAGCTACTCTGAATGAAAACAACTCAAAATGAGGAACAAGTTTGCTCTATGCAATTTGTGTCGAGGAATACTCCGAAGATCTGGAGAAGACTGAGCTTCTGCGTTCAGATAACTGTCGAGACAAATGTGTGCAATGGCTGAAGCAAAATGGAAACTGATCTTTTAGGACTTTGAGGACCGCTCTTCTGAACTTCTGTCCAGCAAAGGCGTAGATAATTGGGTTGAGGCAACAGTGGCTTAAGGCGATAGTTTCCACCCACTGCATGGCAAGGCTAAAATTAGCATGCCAGTCGCAAGACTTAAAGTATTGTTTCCTCTGCAGGTACATGAGAAACATAACAATGTTGTATGGAGTCCAGAAGAGGAAATAAACTGCCACCACAGCCAGGATGAGTCTGATGACTTTGTGTCTTTTTTGTGATTTTATGCTGAGCAGAGTGGGGATGATCCGAGAATAGCAAAAGCTCATGATAATCATGGGAAAAATCAAGCTCAGGAGGTTCATCTGAAGGTAAGTAAATGACATCCAGGCAGACCCTACAGGAAAATCGGTTGCACAGGATGCTTTGCTGCCTGGATGAATTTTCTCTTTGGCAAAAATAATATGTGGTAGGGATGCGAACAGACTGAGCATCCATACAAATGAGGCCAGAATCAAACCCATTTTTGCAGAGCGATTTCTGGAAAAGAGACTGTGGGCATGGACGATGACGACATAGCGATCCAATGTCATTAGGACCATGAAGAAGATGCTGCCATAGAGGCCGATCATGAAGAAACCTGTAATGGTGTGACACATGAATTTGCCGAAAATCCACTCATCTATGGCGCTGTGAGCCCAAAAAGGGAGTGACACAAGAAAGAGCAGGTCAGATAGGGCTAGGTTGAAGAGGCACACGTCTGTCATGTTGGATTTCTGACGGTATCTGATCAGCACCCACACTACCAGGCCGTTTCCAATGAAGCCAACAATGAAAACTATGCTGTACAGGGTGGGAAGAAAAACCTCACTGAAGGCCTTCGTGTTGCCATTGTTGCATGGGCCTCCAGCAGGATCTGCTTCATAGCTGTAGTAGTCATTATAGCTCTCTGTCACTGCAGCTTGGAGGGCACACAAAGAACACAATGATAAGTCAAGTAATTTAATTCTAATATAGTATAATATAATATATTCTGAAATCTTAACATTGGTTCAACATTTCTTTATTGAAATATATACAAAATAAAATGACACCACAAGCAGGAACTTGTAACAGACTTGCATTTTAGTTTGTGTTTTGATGCCATCTACTGGTCATAGCATGATTGTGTTCAGCATCATTGTAAACTGACGGCTTACGTGTCTACTCTAGATGTTGAAATGTTATACTTTTAAATAGGCTACATACCATAATCATGCTGTTATAATTGTTTTAATAATTAACTTTTTAACAAATATAATACAATTTTAAAGAATGCTGTAATAAAAATCACAATAATAATAATAATTATAAATCTGCCTTATTCATAAAAAAAAACTATTATGAACTTATTATTAAAAAGAATGTCTTATGTAGCATTAATTACACAACTAAAAAGACTGTATGACCTACCAGCCTCAGTCCCGTTGTTCTCTGCCATGTTTCTTGGCAATGACAGCTCAATATGTGAAATATGTGTGATCCTGTCTGTCAAAAAGCTTTACAAAGCAAAGGAGGTGCTATTTCCTGAACCTCCCTAAAGGCGGGACTTCATCTCACCAAAAACTAAACTATGTATATGAATGGCAATAAAAAAAAAAAAAAAGATCATACGGATGTGTGTCTCATTAAATTCATTCATTTGAAATTTAGAAGTAAGTGCAATAGGCCTATACATGATTATAGCCTATATTCTATATGGGGAGCACATGCATATTTACACACTTTATCACATATGTGTTTAAAAAATACTGTACTATTTAAAGATTGAATTAGCTATTACACTACTCTATAAAAAATTGCACATTCATTTCCAGTATTTTAAGTATCTTCTTTTAAATTTTTTTTTTCTTCTTTTAACTTTTACAACTACAAATATTTTAGTGTCACAACGCCCTCTTGGGGTTACGACGCAACGGGATCTGTTATTCTAGGAAGACAGTTGTAAAATGGCCGGAAACCAATTGTTCAGAGGCAGTGGTGGTGATTAAATCAGCAGACAGTGATTGTGCTGTCCATCATCATCACTTTTCCAGAAAAAAAGCTTCCTACATATAGATTAACATCGTTATGAGAGAGTATTGACTTTGGAATGATCTGACCTGTCCTGTACATATCCAGTTTTAAACAGACAGAGGGCGTGGCGTAACGTCGAGTAGCCAATCAGGGAGACCACAAAAGAATAACAAACTTGGGACGCTTGGAGTAAACACTATTTGAATATTAAGTGCAGCTTTTGTTTCAGCTTAACGGTTACCACAGTCAAATCCCGTATTTTCAAACACATTGATATTACAAGAATACTAGGCTGACAATTGAGTAAATTGATTTTATGTTTTATATAAAGACAATTAAATTCGGTAATGCCAAAAACTACGAATGGACAGTCACTCCAATGCGAACTGTCCAGAGAATCGTTTTTTAGGTGGTAACTTAGAGAGAGTCATTTATTGACAGTCTCGTTGTATCAACATTGTTTTCTCGTGCGCGCTGTTCTCTCACTGTATCAATACTATTATCTCGGGCGCGCTCTCGCGCTCAGAATTCCAGGCTAGTTGAGCGCGGGCTCGAGAGAAGCCGCGGGAACGGCGCTGCCTGGTGGCCGCTGAACAGATTAGAAAAGAGTTAGAACTACTGTGCCGTTTTTGTCAACCTAGAAGAAGCCGAATCCACGTAAGTATTTCAGTGTTTTATATTATAGAGATATTTCTTTGGCGATATTCGTTTTGCTTTGGCACGCAACATTTCATGGCAATAGCTGTGTGGCAAGTGAAACATTTGAATAGCCTACCTTCATTTGTTTTCGTCATAAGTAACGTACACCAAACACTTGTCCAGACTGCGGTAAATGTTAGTTATTCTTTGACCATGGTACCTTGCTGCTCAGCTGTGTAAAAGAGTTTTATCCTTGTTCTGCTAGAGTTTATCATGTTCTTTCTTTAGGTGACACTCGAATGTTTTTTTTAGGTATAACGTTATAGGCTACCAGTGTCCACGCCTGGATGTACAAGTGAATTGCGTTGATACAAAACGGAATTATTTTATGACAGATGAATTTGGGAGACGTTCCCATCAGACCTGTAGGGTGAGTGTATTATATAAAGTGACATCTATCTATCTATCTATCTATCTATCTATCTATCTATCTATCTATCTATCTATCTATCTATCTATCTATCTATCTATCTATCTATCTATCTATCTATCTATCTCTATCTCTATCTATCTATCTATCTATCTATCTATCTATCTATCTATCTATCTATCTATCTATCTATCTATCTATCTATCTATCTATCTATCTATCTATCTATCTATCTATCTATCTATCTATCTATCTATCTATCTATCTATCTATCTATCTATCTATCTATCTATCTATCTATCTATCTATCTATCTATCTATCTATCTATCTATCTTTCTTATAAGCCACATATCAAATCTCCCATTAAACTGTTTCACTATTTAGAATGAAAGTGTCCATAAATGAGGTGGAAGTTTAAGGCAGGACATCCTGCACAGGGATGATACAATCAGAGTATAGGACTTGTATAAATTAGTTGGCTACCCCAAATACTGATTTGGGAAATGTTGAAATTTTTGGTTTCACTTGCATTAGGCTACAGATCTGATCTACTGGTCTATAACACTCCTAAACAAAAAAGGTCGACAAGGCATTATTTGGCTTGCTGGTATAAAAGCTTTATTCTAACAGCTACATGAGAAGAGTGTATTAACCAGGAAACGAAAACAAATAACTGCCCGGTCACCTGCTTTTTTGTTCCACCTCTCTCACCCTTTGTCATCTCTGCTGTTGACTCAAAAGCTCATTATTCCATTTTACTGAACAACATGTTTGCATAGTATTAAATTCTACATCAAAATTATGTAATTTAAACAGAAATTGTGCTGTACATTTTATTAAAGTGAGAAGCAGGTGTGATGTAAATTGCCCTCCAGTGGAATTGCTTTCTCACAGAAACTTCTGGTTATGGTAACATATCTCAGTAGCCATTTAAAAGTTAGCCATTGAGTGTCCTCCCTCTGACAACACAACAGTCTGTTTTGTGGATCTTACCCACAGCCCCCCTTTTTATGTAACCAGACCTCATTACATTGCTAAAGCAGTGGATGATTGTGGTTATTTAAAGCCTTAGCAGTTGTTGAGAATTCCCACTGCTATCTTCTCTTTTCTGTATTTCTCTTACATATCAGTATATATTTGTGAGTTTTCAAATAAGATTCAGGATGAAGTATTCTTTTGTCTTGGTATCAGTTTTGATAATATGCAAAATGTCCATTGAGCATAAAATGGTTCAGTTTTTTAAAGCACACCTTTTACTCCAATTTATGTCTTTAGTGTGATGTGAGTTTGTGGTTCCCTATAGAGGGAACTCAAACTGCGTCAAATGACACTTTGGGGGAACGCCCCTCAGCGTAGCGCCTCTGAAGTATGAATGAAACTATGCCAATCTCTGATTGGTGTTGCGTCATGACGTAATGTGTGACGGCACATAGGCGGAAGCTATATAAGGACCCGGCACGAGATGTCAGCTTTTTGTTCTTCAGCAAAGCGCTCTGTGTCAAACTGTCTGTCTTATTTGGTGTTGTTTGTCCCATAAGAATTGTCCTGAATTATTGCAATATGGAATCTGGTGGCTCGGATCTCGCGTTTGCAGAGGCAGCGCGTTGATTTAAAGTCTGCATTGCAATTCAGAATCTAGTGGCTCGGATCTCGCGTTTGCCGAGGCAGCGTGTAGATTACAAGTCTACTCAGCAATAAAGATTCTGTGACTGGGATCTCGTGTTTGCCGAGGCAGCGCGTTGATTTAAGGTCTGCATTGCAATTCAGAATCTAGTGGCTGGGATCTTGCGTTTGCCGAGGCAGCGTGTAGATTACGAGTCTACTCAGCAATAAAGATTCTGTGACTGGGATCTTGCGTTTGCCGAGGCAGCGCGTTGATTTAAGGTCTGCATTGCAATTCAGAATCGAGTGGCTCGGATCTCCCGTTTGCCGAGGCAGCGTGTAGATTACGAGTTTACTCTGCAATAAAGATTCTGTGACTGGGATCTCGCGTTTGCCGAGGCAGCGCGTAGATTTAAGGTCTGAATTGCAATAAAAAATCTATAGTGGCTCGGATCTCGCGTTGTCAAGGCAGCGCGCAGATTCGGTCTACTCTGCAATAAAGATTCTGTGTGGGGGCGAGGCATGCACAGTCAGCTCCTGAGGGCGCTGGCTGTGTTCATTGAGAAAAATCTGGACGCACACACTGCCTATTGACTTTTTTCTCGAGAGATGAAAGCCAAATATATTGTGAATGACTCGAATCTCGCCGTTGCCGAGGCAGCGCGTATATTATGAGTCTACAATAATAAGGACACATAATCTGTAAATAACAATTTTAAATAGTAAAAATAAATAATACTGTTGTTTGTGAGGCATTCACAATCAGCTCCTGAGGGTGCTGGCAGTGTTCATTGAGAAATATCTCGACGCATAGGCCTACAAATTAGTACATGCGCTGTCGGATATTTCAGCCTCACATCTGTTGACTTTCTTCTCGAGGGATGAAAGCCAAATATATTGTTACGGCTCAAATCTCACGTTTGCCGAGGCAGCGTGTAGATTACGAGACTGTAATAATATTAAAACAGTATTGTTTGGTGAAAGAGTACCGCTTCTAGAGCCCCTCCTCTAGGAGCTTGGGGGCATAGACGGCACTCTCAGGCGAAGCCTCAGCCTAAACAGGGCAACCTGAGGGTCATCCTGCAGGCTATAAAGGCTTCCACAAAGAAGTCCTAGCCAGCCTAGGTTCTCTGCGGGCAGCCCCACCCACGGTGGAGCGACCAAAGTCGTCGCACTAACAGGTGCGCGGTATGCCTTCACCTGTGGCTGTGAGGGCTCATTCCACCAGAGGCTTGGCGTCCTCTAGAGCCCTTCTCACGGGGGCTCCCATCCAGGAGGTCTGCAATGCAGCTGGATGGGCCACCCCATATACCTTTATTAGGTTTACAGTTTGGACATTCCGTCGACACCCGGCTCTCTTGTGCTCGCGTCCTGAGTGTGCCTGTGAGCAGCTTCACACCAGGGCAGGCAGGGCGCGTTGTGGCGTAGTGGGTACTCGTTCCCCCAAAGTGTCATTTGACGCAGTTTGAGTTCCCTCGATAGGGAACGTCCTCGGGTTACGACTGTAACCCTTGTTCCCTGAGAAGGGAACGAGAACTGCGTCTCGTGGCCACGCCTTCCTCTGCCTGGGAGCGCTTGCTTCATCACAGAAGCTGACATCTCATGTGTGCCGGGTCCTTATATAGCTTCCGCCTATGTGCCGTCACACATTACGTCATGACGCAACACCAATCAGAGATTGGCATAGTTTCATTCATACTTCAGAGGCGCTACGCTGAGGGGCGTTCCCCCAAAGTGTCATTTGACGCAGTTCTCGTTCCCTTTTCAGGGAACAAGGGTTACAGTCGTAACCCGAGGACGTTA